CGTCTACTCGTTACTGTCGTTGGACACAAATTCCACGTCATCTGAAACTAAAGCCTATCAATCATGCTTTTGACGGAAATTTTTTACAGACAACATATGACGGAAATTCATTTGAGGGTTAAAAAAAAAATACCCACTCTGTCCAATTATACAAGCTTGTTTTTCACACGAATTAAGAAAACTTATTTAATATCATTGGAAAATTAATTTTTGTCAAAATCTTTCCTAGTTTACCCCTATTTAATTTCAGTGTGTGAAACTAAATTATTGTTGACATTAATAAAGAATTTTAATTTTCAAAAAGTTTGCATATTAAGTGAAAACAATTTAATAAGGGAATATCAGTAAAAAAATGCAACAAAATATTCTATATTAGAAAACAAGCCTATATATTTGGGACAAAAGAAAAAGGAAATCCAGCCTATATAATTGGGACGGAGGCAGTAGACGAATTAGATGTTGCGACGACAGCACCTATACGAAGAATTTCTTGTACTTGAAGCTTTTTCCAAAGCCTATTTTTATTTTCGCTTATTTAGAAAAGTGTTGCACAACATATACATGGACACGGTATGCAACAAAAAATATTTCTAGTAAATAATTATTTACGTAATGATGATGTATCAAAATATAAGTGGAAAAACTATTTGATAGATGAGATTTTGATCCAATTAAATATTGTCACATTATCTATTCATATACCATTATTTAAATTACTATGTACATGTTTCACCATCCAAATGCAACACATGCATATAGATGTATTATTTATGAATTAAGCGTCCGTTTAATCTACATTATTATCTCATTAAAATGAAAAATATGATCGATTCATCACATCAACATTTAAATGCAAATTTTTTATCCCTTATGTAGGCCCCAATAACGATTATATTTTTCATTCTCATTCTACAATAATTTGGCTCAAACAAGGCCTAAATGTCTCTTTGGCAAAGTTTTTATTTTTTGTAAAAGTATTTTCTCGGGAAACTATCTTATTTGACATTTAAAAACTAATTTTTAAAAGAATTTCCTCTTTCGAAAGAACTTGTTAAAAAGTCATATCGAGTCAACTTCCTCCGAAAGTTTAACTAGAATAAATACTTTTATATGATTAACCAAACATTCAAAAGTAACTTTTGAGTCTTAAAAGTCCTGCCACGAACCTAATTCCATTCTACTTTTGACGTCCCAAATTGTTATTGAGCTTTTAAAAATTCTGAATAATCTCATTATTTTTTATTGTCACCCTATCAACTGCTATTTGAAAATTAAAGATATCAATCATGTGATTGATAAATTATTGATTTTCTAAACGATGTCAAGTGATAAATAAGCCCCCGCTTGACCCCATTAATTTTCACTAAATTATAATTTCTTTTTCTTTTTCTTTTTCTTTTTATCAATCGCACATTTTTCAATAAAATAATATTACACGTAAATTCAAAAAAATATCTTTCGTTTTTACCCACGCATTCTCAAAAAAATTACTATTTCTTTCATTATAACGTCAAATAATGGGAGACAAACAAGTGCTAAGAGAAATGATTAGAAGTTCGATTAAAACGGAGGATCAATTTTGAAAGAATTTTAAAGTTCAGTAATTTTTGGAAAGCAACATTAAAAGGACATTAACTATTAATTTGAATGACTTAAAACAAAACATTGAAAGTACAGTGCTCATCAAAATTTTCACCTTGACTTAAAGGACTATAAGCCTTTGTTTGACCTCAATTTTAATTAGATTTTGGAGAAAAAAAATGTATTTTTAATAGTAATTTTTTAAAGAATGTATGATTAATAAAAAGAGGGAAAAATGAATTATAATTTTAATGAAATCCAAACATGAGCTTAATGGCATTTAAAAATTCATTGTGCACATCTAGAGCATGTTTTGTTGTACTTAAAGTTTGTTAAACATGCTTTACATTGATAAATAGCTTCTCGAGATTAGGGTGTGTTTGAGCCTCATGTTTTTTGGAAGAATGCATTCTGGAGTAATAGATTGATGGAGAATGTGTGATTGAAAAAGAAGAAAAAATTATTGATGTGATGGAAAATATTATTTTATTGAAAAATGTGATTTAAAATGAGTAAAGGACCCTATTTGGTCCACATTATTTTTTTCATTCTCATTCTTCTACTTATTTTCAACCAAACTTTTTTCAATAAAATAATATTTTCCATCACATCAATAACTTTTTCTTTTTTTTAACCACATATTTCACATCGCATCAACAGTAAAAATGCATTCTTACCTTTAAAATGTGCACCAAACAGGGGCGAAGAATGAGAATGAAAATGTTAATGTGTACCACACATGGGCTAAAATCAATAAATCAAACTACACTTCGATATATGATATTTCAAACTTCATAATTAAGCAAAAGAGCCATATCACAAGTTAAAAATCATTTTAAAACGACTACAATTCAGAAATACGACTTTCTTTATCTTCTACTTGTTTTCTCTCCTCTCTATTCATCGTTTCTATGCAAAAAAATAGGGATGGCAAAAAAATCAGACAAACCTGAGCGGGGATTTCTTAGCGGGGAGGACTCCCGCCCCGCCCCCGCCCCCGCCCCCGCCCCACCATCCCTACAAAAAAAGTTCATTTCAAATTGAAGAAATAGGCTGGACCATATTGCAACCCAATCAATAGATTGGGGATCAATAGTGCAAAAGTTTCCCTTTTATTTATACTCTCATTAAGGGTGTGTTTGATAGCCACCCAATTCAATTTCCATTTTCACAATTTTTTATTGTTTGATATGCTTTTTTTCTAGGGAATTGGAATTCCAACTTTGCTTCACATGGTCACAATTTCCCTCAATTTCTTGAATTCATTTTCCCACCATTTT